TTAATCGATGTAAGCACTGATATCTGCTGTGCCTGCCTGGAGAAGCTGTTCTTATTTTTCTTTTACCCCCAAGCACCAGTGTTGCAGCAGTAGTGTCAGTTCTCATCTTGTGTTGCTTCAGTGAGAGTCAGCACTGGTCACGGCATGCCTTTTGCTCCACATGGTTTCCAGCAGATTTGTGGGCTGAATGAGAAGAAACAGTTGTCTAGGGAGATAGGCAAAGGGGTCCATATGCTTATTTCTTCATCTTGGATTATTTGTAGGAGTCATATGATGTCCTTGAACTTAATGTGCCTCTGTGCTTGGAGATGTATAGGCATTTGTGGTTATATAAAAAGTTGTGATAAGGATATATGTTTTAAGGGATTTATGGATTTGTTAATGGGACTGCGCATGTCTGTCTTCCGCATTGTGGTGTATTTAGATTTGGACTTCTTTTAGTGCCTGAGCTTGGCTTTTTAAGATAGATGTGTTGCACGGAACAGGTAGTGTAGACATACCCTATAGATGTCAGCAGCCTCCTTTGACTTGAGCAGTATATGACTTTCCTTTCTAACCCATGCTAGTAGTGTGAGATGCACTTGCTTACTAGCAAGGGCTAAGTGAATTTAACACAGAAAATTTTGAAAAGAACTCTGATTTATTTTTTTTTGATAATTTTTATTTGTGTGGTGAAGGGTAACTAATATTCATCAAACTAGTCCAGAAAGGTTCACTTCACTCCCAGTTTGGTGACTGAAGTCTTTTCCTACACTATGGTGCTTATGCAAGGATGGGCTGGCAGATGGCCTGTCTCCCCCCACCAAAAAAAAAATAGATATCAAAACTCATCAGTGATGATTAGACCTGCTGCTTGTCAGCACGTGAAGAAAAGAGCTACAATTCATCACTCACACTGTCATGTGAAGCCACAGAAAAGTAATTAGCAGGTAAAATGTCTATTAATAGCTTCCACCACCTTTTGCTCAAGCACCTGCTGACAAGCTATTACTCCGTGTAGCTTAGCTTCATCAAGTTCTTGTTTTGTGATTGCTAGAAAAGATGCCATTAGAGCCATTTCTGTTGAGGTGGGGTGTCTCTGAAGAGACTCTTCCTCTGTGGCCCCTTGTTGATAAAGCAGATGTGAAGACTTGCCTTGCTGCTAGTAATCTCTACAAGCACGCAGAGACTTCTTTGTGCTTCTTTCAGTGACTGTAAATTTATTTGGCTAATGACAGCACAACTTGTGTTAGTGCAGGCTAAATGCAGAGTAGGGAAAAACAAAGAATTGTCGTCTTTGCCTGCAATTATCTTTTTACGTTGCTTGGAAATAAATGCAGCGTATTTCTAAGAAAACAATATTGTTAATAGTATACTATCACGTATAAAGTATGATTGAACTTGGCAGTTATTATTTGAGCAAGCTTTTTTCCAATATTAAAACATGCAACTCTTTGTTTCGTTTTTAATGTGGGCCAGAAATATTAGTGATAAACAAAGTGGGAATTTTGTTAGGTTGGCTGCTGTTGGATCCCTTCTGCTTGGAGGCTTTGATAAACACAGCTGCCCCAAAATATATTCTGCCTGAAATTTCTCTGTATTTTACATTTCTGGCTATATCTGTCTCATTACAGGTAGAGGCTTTATCAAAATCAGTGCCATTCCTAATGTATGACTGAATTGTATGTAGCTTGGACATCAAGTAGGCCCCTTCATTTTTTTTATGTTAAAGAAAATGCACACAGTTGACAGATGTACCTGGAAACAGACTGTGTCCCTTCCTTTCCACTTATCTGGCAGTGAAAAAAGGCATCTGAAAAAGAATATGTATGTAGTCGTCACTTGAATTCACAGAATCACAGAATTAAAGGGGTTGGAAGGGACCTCAAAAGATCATTGGGTTCAACCCCCCTGCCAAAGCAGGTTCCTTAGAGCAGGCTGTCCAATGTTAACAAGATTCCACTAAGGATGGATAGGAGATGCTTTTCTAAAGAAGCATATATGCACCCTGTTATTCAGTCACAGAATACTGTTCTGATGATCTTCTTGCTCAGCATTTCCTTTTTACTGATGATTTGCTTTCTGGTGGGACTTGAGGCCTATGTGTTATCAGCATAGGCTTCCACTGCAAGGAGGCTCATTGCAGGCTACTATCTGCTACCTGCCTCTCTGAATGGGCAAGGTATGGGCCAAGTAAGTGATGGAGAGGAGGATGAAGGAAGAGGTAAAGTACTTTGGAGCTGTCAAGGGAGAGCCTTGGGATGGAGGTTGGGCCTTGGCATGGGTCCCAGTCATGGGTCTTGTGTGTGGCCTGGCTGGCAGGATGGAGGGTGCCCTGGCTCATCTGGATGCCTGGTGATCCTGCTGGTGCCTTCCCTTGTGTTGAGGAAGGAGAATGGGTTTGGTGCTGAGGGATTTAGCAACTTGAAACACAGGCCCCATTGTGGAAGCGTTAGTAACACTGAGACACCTGGGGTGTGAGAAGATTGAGAGTTGCTTATATGAGTAAACTGACTCTGCTGAGAATGAGCAAAGGATTTAGATAACCACATTCAGCTTCTCACTGACAGCCTTCTTGATTAAAAAATTCAGCATTGCTGTATATTGGAAAGAAGAAGGAAGTCTCATGAGGAGATGTGGCGGAGCTGCAGTTTGTGGTCGTTCCCCTTGGTGTTTGGAGACGTGAGCACCATGGTAAAAGTGTGTTGTTATGGGTGTCCCTTGCACTGTGTTTTGGTTTGCTTGACTGCTTGAGACTCCTCTCCTGAATTTGCTCAGGGCAAACTGATTTATAAGAAAATTCTCATGATAAATCTTTTGTCTGGAGTATCCTTTGTTTGTTTCTTTCCTTTTTTTTTTTTTTTTTCTTTCCCCCAAATAAGCTAGATGCTCAAGAAGTAGAATGAAATAAGAACAAGCCTGATTTTTTTTTTCTAGCTTATTCCTACGGAGTTGTAGATCTCCATCAAGCTCTCTTAACCACAACAACCACAGGGGAGAAAAAAAAAAAAAAAAAAAAAAAAGATAAAATTATTTGATGTTTATCTCTTTAATTTGGACAGATTTAATAAGTTATTAGTTATGAGCTGCTTAACTGCATAATAAAGTATGTTTTACTTTTCCATCTGAATTTGTTGTTTTCATCTTGTAATTTTTTATTTATAGCCTAACTCTATCTGTTGTATAATTGCTATAGAATATTTACATGGTGAAAAAGTCATTGCCCAAATGTACTAACTGTCTAATTGGGAATTGAGCAAAGTGGCAGCACACAGACCGCACCTACGCAGAAACCATGTGGTTGATAAACATGTCACAAAGTCTTTGCTGGCCAGAATAAAGATGTTCTCAGAAGTTGCTGTAGAGGTTTTAAAAATGCAACCTTAGCATATGTTCATTTCCCCTTAAGCTGAGTCCCACATCTTCAGCTGTGGAAAGACAACTGTCATGTTAGTGACTCCTCATTAAGTGTATTCAGTTTACAGGTGTGAAGAAGATCTGGCTGGGAGATGGCAGGCAAGCCATATGCTGAACTCTCTCCTTTCTGTAATATTCCAGCATTTTCTCAGGATTAGAAATTGTGGGAGGGCTAGGGGCTGTGTGTTTACTCAGGTCTACATCAGCGGAATCTTCCTGGAGTCCCTGTATAATTAAAGAGGAGATAAGTTCTTTTAGTAAATGCAGTAGGTGGTTTGGATTAGGAGAATGACAACTGCTGTAAATCTCTCTTTTTTTTTCCCCCTCTCCCTCCATCACCAATTTAAAAAAATAAAATAAAATAAAATACAGTAAGTACGCTTCAGCAGTCTCAATCTTGATTGGTGAATGTATTCTTTCTCCTCATGGACCAATTAGCATGGTGAGCAAATTTTGGGTAGTTTGGGATGAGACATATTTTTAAGAAGTGGATTGTTCTGTATGCAGATGAGGTGCTTTCTGCACCCTGCTTTGTCGTTTGTGGTAGGAAATGGTCCATGCTGGATAGTAAGCAGTCCTTTACATCATCCTCAGAACAAGTTGTGGCCATAACCCTACGATGTGGTTAAGGCAAGGAGTAGTTTTAGCAGTCTCATCTCTCCTATGGAAATTATAAGCGCAAGCCTCTGAAATCCCTTATCTCTTTAAAATGGGAAGAAAAAAATCTCTTGAAATAACTCTATTATTCTTTGTATTTGTGAGGAAAACAAATCTATTCCAGAAGCAACAAATTCACAGAATCACAGAATCATCTAGGTTGGAATTACAGATATTACTATAATATATTGTAATTAAACGTGAAATTATGGTATTCTCTAGTGCCATTTCATCACCATTTGTATATTTGAAGGATTTTCAAGTACTATTTGTTAATATTTCTGCATGATTATTTCTGTCTCTGGTGCATAGCAGAGGACCATATTTAAAGCTTAAGGGACTGACTCTTAAATGGAAGCAAAGTTTATAACTTGACTTTAAAAGGGCAGCACAGACACTGTGCAGACTAGCACTGTGTTCTCTGGTCTGTGAATCTGCTGGTCCTTTGCTGCTAAAAAGAATAAAAAGATAATGGACATGCTTCCAACAAAAGCAATCTGGTATTACACCGTGTCCATACTGTGTAATTCTACTAGTTGTAAGGCCTCTTTGCTTAAGAGATTTTAGGAATCAGGGTGACAATGGGCACAAGGGACTGATCTGTAAGCATCAGATCTACAGAGAGAACCATTGGATCTTCTGGAAGTGATATACTGCTTTGAAAATTGATCTGCCAGATTAGGGTTTCTCTTCATTTTGAGGTGTTTTTCTCAGTGCACTTAAAAACAGCTAAAAGATCACTCATAATTTTTCTCTTCTTTTGTTCTATTTTTATGCACTTTAGAAACAGAACATGCCATCCATTTAAAATCTAATGAGTGGGTGTATTTCTACCTTAATTATTAGGAATGGTTAAGTTTTGAAGCAGAAGAGCAGTCTTGCTGTTCTCAGTACTTCATGTTCAGCAGCAGAGCTAACTTTGTCTTCTTTGTCTCTTTTTATTTCAGAACTATGGTTTGGAAACAGAAAATTTGAAAACCCTTTCTCACAAACTGAATGCATCTGCCAAAAATCTGCAGAACTTCATCACTGGGAGGAGGAGAAGCGGTCACTATGATGGAAGAACCAGCCGCAAATTACCGAATGATTTTCTGACATCAGTAGTGGATCTCATTGGAGCAGCTAAAAGTCTGCTGGCTTGGTTGGACAGGTAAAATCTCCCAAATGTGTTACAGGTAACCAGTTCATACTCATGCACAAAACCCAACCTCTTTACAAAATCTAACATAGACATGGAAATTGAAGCAGAATTCATTTACAAATCTGTGGGGGGAAGCTTGTAGCATTGTGGTTTTTTTTCTTGTTAATTGGCTGTCATCATGAAATTCAGATAGCATCCAATAAAATACATCTAAATTCACTGCAGCCTTACGCATATCTGGAAATTCAGCACAGCGACAGGCTGACATCATTAGGTTGTATATATATTTTATTAACAATATAGAACAATTTGACCTGCGTAAATCAAATTCCTTGCTCTGATAGTATAAAATTGACAAACCTCTGAACATTCTATTCATGATATAGGTGTTAGTATATACTTCCGTGTGTGTGTGAACATGCATTTTGCAGGTTAGTTTTTTTAATTGCAATGTAATAACTCTGAAACTATAGATGCAGCTGGAACTGGCACATACTCTTATCTCTGTGTATACGTGTCAAGGTTGGGGGGCAGTGGGGGTGCTGCAGGGGTGGCCTCTGTGAGAAGAGTACAGCAGCAGCTGCCCAGCAGCTGCCCCGTGTCAGATAAGGGACAGTTTCAGCCAGCTCCAAAAGGGACCCACTGCTGGGCAGAGCCAAGTCAGGGAGTGACACTGGCTGGGCCTCTGTGAGAACAGGTGTAAGGAAAGGGGAGGGAAAAAAACAAAACAAAAAAAAAAAACAAACCAAAACAAACAAACAAACAAAAAAACTCCTGGGAGAGAGGAGTGAGAAACAGCCCTGCAGACCCCAAGGTCAGTGCAGCAGGAGGGCAGGAGGTGCTCCAGGCACACAGCAGCAGTTCCCCTGCAGCCTGTGAAGAGGCCCCTGGTGGAGCAGGCTGTCCCCCTGCAGCCCATGGGTCCCCCATGGAGCAGATCTCCATGCTGCAGCCCCCCCATGGGTGGAGGAGCCCCCGGTGGAGCAGGTGGATGTGGCCTGGAGGAGGCTGCGGCCCATGGAGAGCCCCTGCAGGAGCAGACCCCGGGCCGGAGCTGCAGCCCGTGGAGAGGAGCCCACGCAGGAGCAGGGGGTCTGCGGGGAGCCGCCGTCCACCCGTGGGGGACCCGTGCTGGAGCAGTTTGCTCCTGGGGGATGGATGGACCCCGTGGCACAGAGCCATGTGGGAGCAGTGCTTGAAGAGCTGCTGCCTATGGGCAGCCCCCGTAGGCTCAGTTTGGGAAGGATGGCATCCCATGGGAGGGACCCCACGGGGAGCAGAGGCAGGGAGTGACTGTGAGGGAGCAGCGGAGACAAAGTCTCAGGGACTGACCACAGCCCCATTCCCCTTTGCTGTTCAAGGTGTGGAGGTGGAGGAGGATGGATGGGAGGGAAGGTGTTATTTGTTGGCTTTTAAATTCTCACTCCTCTTGCTTGTTACTAATAGACAACAAACTATATTTATCTCCCTATGCTGAGTCTGTTTTGCCCATGACAATAATTGTTGAGTGATGTCCCTGTTCTCATCTCAACCCTTGAGACCTTTCCATTGTATTTGCTCACCCTTTCCATTTGAGGAGGGGAAGTGAGAGAGCGGTTGTGGTGAAGTTCAGCTGCCCAGTTGGGTGACCACACTGTCACCTAGGAAATATGTGGGATCAGGACTTAAGTGCTCTCCTTTACTTCTAATGATAGCAATAGCAATGTGCAGGTATTTAAGATGATCACTGAAACTCTTGAAGTGGTTAAAATGAATCTACCTGTATGTCTTTTTAAAATATATTGCAGTGTATTTTTATCAGCAAAAATAAAATCCTTATCTTTATTTTTAAGGTTTAGCTGATCATGCATCTTATTTTGTATCCAGAAGCTGAAGTTTTTTCAAAGTATGATTTTTGTGTAATTCTTAAAATCGAACACAATTGTTTGGGTTTACTGCTCTGGGTTATGTTGTGTTTCATTTTCCTGAGGAAAACTGGCTTCTGTCCCATAAATGATTTCCATATGAAAGGTTTAGGTGAAGCACGAATCTTTTCCATTTCTTCAGCTGAAGTGTAAGCTCTTTCTTTTGTTCAATAGACTGCAGCTACCACTGCTTCTTCTTTTCTTCCCTCTTTCAAGCCCTTCCAGAGATTTTGAAACTGAAGTTGGGCTCCTGAATTTCTATTTAGACAATTAACATTAGACACACAGAGAAGTGATTAAGTTTAATGGAAAGAGCTTAATGTTGAAACTTGAAAAATTGGGAGTATGTTTTTAGCTCTGTCTCTAACCTACTGCTGTGACTTGGAAGAACTATAGGCCTCAGTTTTTCTCCCTGCAAATCTTTTTTTGGCAGAGAACATCATATCCTTCTGCATCTTAAAACAGAAAAATTAGCGTGAAAGCATGTTACACCTAGGTGGATCAGTATCTGGAACTTCCTTCTATTTAGAAATAATCTTGATTATTTTATCACTGGAATTGGGCATAATGGATAAAGACTGTTAGTTAATAAGTGGAGATAGTATTTTGCAAAAAATAGTTTGAAATTTAAAGAGTAAGCTTTCACATGTATGTATATTTAGCACCGAAGAACAAGCTATGGTTTTGGCATCTTAATGTGAATTTAGTGGTTGAACTTTAGAAAGAAAGTAATCATTGGTACTAGGAAATATACAATTATATATCTTTGAAATATATATATGTGTAACACTACTGGCATATGTTCTTACAGAGAAGTATTAAAATGGTGTTGTCTGTCTACTGACACTTTTGTTTTCCTGCAGTATTGAGTTGTAGTGGAGAACTGCAAACCTTTCACACTTTTTTTCCCTCCAATTAATTGAATAGTAAAATCTTTAAATAAATAAATTTGAAGTGCCTGCATCACAGCACCAATGTGTCAGTCTATTACTGCAAACTGGGCCAAAATTATGTACTTCTAGTATTAAAAGACAAACCCAATCTCTAAAACTTGTTTGTAGCTCAGAAGTCTGTGGAGAATTACCTTAGTAAAATTATACTTAGACAGTTATACTGTGTTTATCAGAGAGAATTCTGTTAGTAGGTTAAAGTGTTGGTCAGGGAAGATTTATTTTTTAAAATAACTTTTAAAAATGTGTATGTCAGTTCTACTCTCAAGTAAAATGCAAAATGACTTTTACATTTATCTGAAGTGTGAGCTGATCAAGTGCAGGAGCTCCAAGAAATTAAAAATGAGGGCAGCCATGGTGGGAGCTCTCTTTTAGCAGTGTTGTTGTTAGCATCCAAATAAGGCTTCCTTGAAGCGATATGTTAATTTCATTCAGATTTCTGGAAAAGCACTTTTGAAGATCTGCGTAGCTTAAACATGTAGTTCTGGCAAATGTTTTCTGTAATGTTTTAAGAGTTTTCTGATTTATGAGGGTGTGGAATTTTTTGATTAGGTTTGTTCTTCCTTCTTTGTGAAGCCCCCAAAGTGGGGTGAAAGCAGGCCAATGAATGTATTTTTCTCAGGAAGTCGGAACATCTGGAATGCAATAGGATTATGCTTATTATATTTATTCTAAGCAACTATTGGGGCCACTAGAGGGAGATAGAAAGATTTTAAATATTAAATATTTAAAGTCAGGAACATGGATTTAGTTTTATTCTGCACAGCTGTTACTGTTAAATCTGGGCCCCAAATCTTAATTCTTTTGGTTGGTTCCTAATACTAGTTCCATCTCTGGGGTGTGAGAATGGGGAGAGAAAACCATTAGGAGGAATATAGGCTGCCCCTATGTTGCCTTACAACCCACGCTGGGGAAAAAAAACAGTTAGCAGCAGCTACAGCTTGCCTAGAAATGCCATGATGTGCGCTTTTTTTTTTTTTTTTTTAACGTATAGAGAATGGCGATGTATCCACAGGACTTGGGCTTCACTTGCTGCTCTAGAAAGTTCTCTCTTTGCAATATTTCCATAGTATGATTACTGTCTGTAAAGACCTCATCAGGCCAGGCATAATTATCAAATGGAGTGTAAGAGTTGTGATTTGCTGAGTTACTGTCATTGTGGCTCTTGTAGTGGCATTGTGCAGGGCTGGTCCAAGGACGCTCTTTGTTCCAGGTCTCTGCCTGGAGCAGTCCTACTTCCAGATGTATGCCAGAGATTGACGTTTTTATTGAAAATTAGAATAGCTTTTATTGCTGGGGCTTGAAAGTCATTAAGGAACTGGAAATTTTAGCAGAAAATTCTAGCTGTTTTCAAAGGAGGTTGGCTGAAGATTTTTAGGAGCATAAAATAGCTCTCCAGTAATTAAGTCCTGCAAAGAAACTGTCATCACCCAAATAGATTATGTCCTTAAACTTTTAGACTAATTTTAACTTCCTGTTACTTTTTCAACCTACAAAATCTTCCAAAAATGTTTCGTCTTAACAGTGTTTTATTTAATGGCCTTTCCCTAATCTTCAACTTTTTGCAAGCCATTTTGTTGGCAAACTTTCTTCAAAACCTGAATCTTTTGTGAAAGCACGGTGCATCTCCACTTGAGATATAATTTAGATCTTAATCTGATAGAAAGACATGCTTTACACTGTTGCAACAAAATAGTCATTTGATGTTCAAATCAACTTGGCATCTAAATGTCTCCACTGAGAAGTGATGCTTCTCAGGAATTAGAAAATAATATATACAGTCATCCAGGTGTTCTGGACTTCCACTTAGATTGTAGTTGTTACTTTCAGTCTTTATTCCTGTAATTTTTGAAGCTTGTATATTTTGGAGTAGTAATTGATGCCATCGTTCTGAATCTTTCTTCTTCACTGATGTGCTGGGTTCCTGGAAATTATTCTGTCTTTTACAGGGCTGATAAACTACTCCTGAAGAGGAAACCTCATTGCTTTTTGTGCAATGTGCTCCTTTGCTTGTGATTATGTACAACAGTTCTTCTGGGTTTATTGCTCAATGTATCCTCTGAATGATAGTGAAAATACACATGCCTTACCATTAAAATTCATGCAACTCATTTTTTACAAATTCATTATTTGTTATAAATTCAGGAGGGAGACA